CGATACTGCAGCCGGAACTGGCGACGCTATCACCAAGTTCTACCCAAAGGTCGATGACCCGAAGGAAAAGAAGCAGAAGCAACATCAATTTTGGTCCTGGCAAAAATCTCGTTCACTAATTAGATACATGTGCAGTCACGGCAAGGGGCACTACAAGAATGCGCGCAAGCTAGGAGACGCGATTATTCTACCCGACGGCGCTGAGCAGTATCTCGTGACGTGGATAAACTCTTTGAAGCGCGAAGGCTGCCCCGTGTCAGCTCAAATGCTGAAATTCAAAGCGTTAGAGGTTGCCAAGGAGAGAGGTTTGCCTAACGGGCTCTTTTGCGCCTCCCACTCCTGGCGAAAACCCTTCATGCGTCGAAACAAGCTATCGATACGCTGTCGGACTCGACAAGGCCAGACTGGACCGGAAGATGCCCGGGTCAAGGCTGCTGAGTCTCGAAAGGAGGTACGCAAGCTTATCGCTAAGCACAACATCTCCGTGGTCCTCAATGCAGATCAGACCGCTGTGTTTTACGAGTATTTACTGACAAAAACCATCAATGCAACTGGCGCAAGAACCGTGTGGCTGAAGTGCGGAGGCAAGGACAAAGAGAGAGCTACCCTGATGCTTTTGGCAGACTGGCACGGAAAGAAGTACCCACCAATCGTCATTTTTAAGGCTAGCGCAGCGAAAAAATTGGAGAAGCAGAAGGAGAACGATTCCACTCAAAACGGTTTCGGACCAGTGCTGTGGCCCAAGATGAACAACTTGCTGAAAAAGCATGGTTGTCAGATATACGGTAACCCTACGGCTTGGTAAAATGCAGGCATCTCTTTGAAGTTCTTGGAGTACCATTTCGCCAACAGGCTGAATTTGGAAGATAAGATCTTGCTTCTTTGGGACGACTTCTTGGGTCATTGGACCCCTGAAGTCGTCGAATATGCTGCATCGCTTAACATTATTCTGAAGAAGGTACCTCCGAGGTACACATACGTCTGCCAGACCGCGGACGTGGCTTGGAATTAGCCATTCACGAGTACGCTACGGAACTACTGGGTTGATAGGCTTCGAAAGCAGATTGCGAGCCACCACGCCTTGGAAGTGGGGCGTGCGGCACAACGGTTAAAAATCGCAGCACGCGTCGATGCACATGCAAGGTCCGAAATGCAAGACGTTGCTAGAGATCGCATCGATGAAATCCGGAAGGGAGAACCCAATTCAGCATTTAAAGTTACGCCACCCAGACGTGACGACATTGTAGCATGGGCTTGCTCGGCTTGGAACAAACTGACAACTGCCACAATTATAGGTGGGTTTTCCAGAGTTGGCATCCTCGGTGACAACCGGGTTGCGGATGTCAGCGCGGTGCAGAGCGACACCAGTGTTGACGAACTTGTTGACAAACTCCGTTGCTTGGGGGCCATACAAGGCAAGGACGTTGGATTTGAGCAGGATCTCCACAGCGACAATGACCTCCACAGCGACAATGATGACAATTGAGAGGTAAAACGTAGTCCTGTACAATTTATAGGTAGATCGTAGTCACGCACTAGCTAAATCATATATCTTACCCTTTTCACGCTACACATAGTCTGCTTCTCCCAAATCCCCAAGTTCTTTTAGGACCGGTACTGAATATTTCTTCGCGTGGTCTGATTGGCGGAAATTTCTACTTTTCAACTTTTCAAGTTGAAAAGCTGAAAAGGATGACTACAAGGCCTACAGTATTCAAAATACTATTTCCTTCCGCTTTTATTGTAAATTTCGTCCAAAATCGCCGCTGTGGAGAATCCACAGCTTATCAACACGACGCTATGAGTGGGTCAAATTACAATACTGAATCATCCTATTGCCCATAATAATCATGCCCGACCACTGAAACAATAGTTTTATTTTGTAAGACGGGTTTTACGCGGCGAAAATACAGGTACATAACCGGCCGTTTGCAACCGGTTGTATTTTTCTCATGAAAGCTATTTCATTGGCGAATCGCTTGATCTGTGGACGGTACCGGCTGGTCTGGGGCTGATACTTTGCCAAACGCAGCTGTATCGACTGCAAAATCAGTTGAACAGAGGGTTTGATATCTTACCCGCAGTTGCAACCAGCCATTTACAAAAGTTAAGTAAGTCGCGCCTCCCTCCGGTTGCATTGAAATATTTCTTCCACAATCGGAAACGCAATTCAAAGCTCAAGTATAATGAAAGGAAGCCGGTACAAGTCAATTCTCTGTGAACTCATGGCCTTTAGAGCTGATCACAACTTCCCAACTAGCACTGTCTTCAGTCAAGAAGCGCTGCTGGAAATCACACCGGACGACGTCTGCCATTGGATGAATTATCGCGCTTTTGGGGACCGCAGTCCTACGGAAGACGCAAAGCCAGTGAACGCCCGGGCATCTACCTTGGAGTACGCTAAGAAAGCGATCTCCTCTTTCATGCCACGACGGACGGCCCCGTGGGATCCTATCCGTAATGAAGGTAACCCAACTCGGTCAGAGGCCGTGAACGCAGTGATTAAGAAGGTGAAACGCAGTGAGGTTCGCAGAGAAGGAGTGCAGTCGGCAGCAAGGCGTCCGATCGAGTATGAAGAGTTCCTCAACCTACTCGAACAAGTCATTTCCAGAAACACAAAAAATGCTGAGGTATCTAGTATGTGCAGTGCTCACTATGCAATGGCATCTTATTGCTCGTATTGACGATATGATGAAGCTGCAGTTTGACAGCTTGTCCTGCAGCATTCAGCACCCAGGTACACTGACTTGCCAACTACGGTGGTCTAAAAACATTTCTGAAGAACGCGACGCACCAGAGCAAATTGTGCTAGGCAGTATGGATCCTCGCGTCTGTGTGCTTCTTAACATTGCTGTTCATGTGGAGATGACCGGAAAGCCGTCATTATCATCTTAATGTACACATCGACAACACTCTTCCTTGTACGCCACCTTCCACGCCGATTAACATAGTCCTTAGGTAGACCACTTCGGCTACCGTAAGTAGCTGCACCTTTTCGCAAGCTGTGCGTTCCCAAATTGCCTGGCTTCAGCTTGTGGAAGGTGGATCCAACGAAGATTTCTTGTATGAAGCGACGGACGACGCGATCTCCATCCAGTGGATTGCCAAACACGTGACAACACTCAACCGTATCCAGACGCTGTAGCTGCCGGGGCATTGGCGGGGCCGCTTGGTCCTTGTCGCTACGTACTCAAGGACGGTGTACAGACTGTCACTGACGACGTGTTAACTCATCAAGTTGGACCTGTGATTAAAGAGGCTATGGGTGACGAGGTGGCACGTGTACTTGCACTGCCACTTATTTGGGCAAGTTTGGTGCCGCACGGAAGTTTCGATTACGAAGTCATACCGGCTGCGCTCAAGAAGCGCATTTGGCATGCCTACGTTAATGCTGGAGGAAATCCATCTATAAATGCGGTAGAGCGTGTACCCATCCATGTTGTTGGCGAGGGTGCGCAGCTTCAGCTCGTTGAAGTACGAGAAGACGCTGTCGAAAGCGGTGCTCTCGAACACACTAGCGGGGGCATTAGCGCGGATAGCACGCGTAAGGAGTTCGCGTCAATTCACTCGCAGCTGTTCGGCATGCAGCGCCAGACAGCCAACGTTTTGAACGAGCTTCTTCGGTCGCGCACTGAAACTCAACGCGACTACCAAAAGCTGTTGGCGGTGGTACGACGTATTGCGCTACAGCCTGTAGCCCGCATGATACAGCCCCGACATACCAGTAGCGGCAGCTGCAGATGATGAAGAACAGTGGTGCAGCAGGAAGTCTTACCACGCAAAGCCTGTCTTAAGCGACCGAAGGACCTGTCCGAGCTTTGGGGGGAGTACCAGTTTGGTTTAAAGCGGGTTAAAACCAGCCAAAGACTTCACTGCAGCAGCTCGCGGCGCCAACAAATTTGCGTATTCTCGTCGCAAGGTATTCTGGGACGCTGTTGCTACGTTTGTACGCTCGGGGTTCACCAGCGACGTTGTCATTGACAGAATTTACGCGACCTATGGTCGGCAGCTCTCTGTCACTCGCATCCTTGCCGCCCTTCGCAATGACAAACACCAAGGTGGCCATCCATCTCTCCGTCTGTAGTTACAGCTAATGAAACTCACGAATGCACCTTATTGACCAATGACAGTGCGGTAGCTCGCTCTGTTGCACATTTAGTCGGTATTTATACAGTACATGTACCGGTAATACGGAAAGCTTGCCATTCGAAAATGTAAGCGGAATTCAGCTTCATTCACGCCATTTAAGTAGTGCAGTAGCTGATGCGTGAGGGCGGCCGGGGAACACGGGTTCGTGGCGCAATACAATGTATATCGCCTAGAGTGATGTCCCGATATATGGTCAATATATCCATCACCTCCTCGTCATCGCTGGAGTCTCCATCACTGTCCAGGTGAGCTTCTAATGCACGTTGAAGCAGAGTCTCGACTGCGACCAGGACACTGCTTCTCTTGCTTTTCCTTGGCATCTTGGCAGTGAGATCCTTCTTCCAAAGGGCACGTCGTCGTCTGAACTCGAATCTGCAAAGGTGTCAAAGATCCGGTCATTTTATTGGTAGAAATATGCTTCTGAATTCGACTACCACTAATAACGTCAGTAAACTCCGAGCCTCGGAGTTTCCGAGGTTCGCCGTGGTCACCGATATGACGATACCGAGAAGCAACCCAATGTAGCATACACTGGCTCGTCGAAGTGAGGTCAGGCAGTCTGTAGCTCTAGGGTCACAGGATGCTCCGCTCGAAAATGATGCATGAATGGAGCTCGTCACTTTACTGTACAGACTGAAGCAGTCACCGCACTCATCTCGCGTTGACAGGGAGCAGTGCTTCAAGTCCACCCTTGCTCTTTTTGAAGCGGAAAGGCAAACACGATTTGCTCTGAAACATGACAGCAAGCTGTGTGTTACACACTGTGTACACTGTACACTGTACAGTACCTAAGGAAATTGCCTGTTAATAGTTTATTACATGTACTTTTATTTACCATATTATTAGGTATGCTAGAGAATCCCTTCCAGTGACATCCCGATGCGGGCGCCAACACTTTCCCTCTCATTCCTGTGGCTGGATGGACTATCAACGAGCTCCACGCGCGATTGCGGCAGCTTCACACTTTGCGTCTCGTCTCCTCGAGCATGTCACCGATCATGGACTCCTGTCGGATGAGCGCGCTCTCCATCATAGCCATCGTGTCCTCGACGTTACCCAACACGCTAACGAAGGCAGCTACAAAGTCGACGTACGTGTCGTACCGATGGATCTTGTTGTCATCGCCAAAGTAGAACGTGTTCCCCACTGGGTATTCGAGCTGCTTGCCAATGAGGCGCTGGACAAGTGGTTCATTCCAAAGCACGTGGGGGAAGATTTTCTCGATAGTGCGCCGCGTAAAGCGTACGTGAAGCGTGGCGGGCGCGAGCACCACCGGGTTCGGCTCTGCTGCCATGATTTGCAGGTTCTTGACTTCGTACTTGAGCCCCGCATGATATAACGAGTACTTTTGCCACTGATCCAGCAGCTCCCGTACCCCGTAGGAGCTGCCAAAGACAACATTCGGGTGCATGAGCCCGTTCAGGAAACCAATCTGTCGGGACGAGAGCACCAATTGGTCCTGTGGCACGTTCATCAAGTCCTGTTCGGCCACTGGTACACCGTATTTGAAGAGTGAAAAGTACTCGTTCACAACGGTGGCGAACGACCCGCCAATGGGCTGTCGCGTGAGAGGCCATTTGGTTGCAGTTTGTTGCTGTAGTGAGCGCCCGTGAAGACTAAGTTGGTCCACCTCCTTCTTGAGCTCCTCCACTTGCTCCTCCAGCGTCTGCACGTAATTCTTCCAGCGTGAGCGATAGAGTTTGCCCCGCTCGCTATTGGATAGACGACGCGAGCGCTTCTTAGACGATAATTTGCCAGTCACACCGACATTGGCACTGGTATTAAAAGTTGTAGGAGGCTCGGTACCGATGCCGCTGCTGGCGTGACGAACGGGGGCAAGCGGCGGCAGGGACGGACCCGCAGCGACGACGCGACTCTCGATCTCGGCGTCGGCGCTGCAGAGCGCGTTGATGTCCATTCGGCGGTCGTGCAAGCTCATAGCGGGATCTAAGAGCTTGCTCTATTATAATGTTCCCGGTTTCGAGACCTGAGCTGTCCGCGTCGAATTGCGAAGTGACCGCGAGTCGCTGTGGTCGTCATCCTCGATCGCGTATCGTCTATGACATGTCCAATGGAAGGCTTTAATTTTCAATTACTGCTCTGTACCGTGGTACATACTAACTTTGAACGGTTTTCTTTCCCTCCTTACAAATTCGGACATCCCACTTTGTTTTTGGCAACAGATTTAGCAGGTGTATGTGGAATCGCTGCATTTGCCGGCGTTATCAGGCAGTCGGTGATCAAATGGTGGTGTTTTCCGCATGCTCTCCTCCTGCGCTTTCCCCAGCGATTTGTCTCGGCGACGGGTTTCTTCATGGGAAAAACTAACGAGGGCCCTCCTAGAGAGGGCCCTCACACAAAACGGGCAGAGGTATTACCGGTACTGTTACCGGTACAGCGTTACCGTACTGTAACCGGTACAGCGTTGCCAACCAGACGAAAGGTTGTTAACATATTGAAAGGTTGTAAGAGTACCATTACTGTGGATGGGGTTGCCGTACGCGAATGGCTGGCGTGTACAGGAGCTCAGTAGCGGGAAAAACTAACGAGGGCCCTCCTAGAGAGGGCCCTCACACAAAACGGGCAGAGGTATGACCGTTAGTGCTGCAAATAGACCGTTAGTGACGCAGCCGTTAGTGATGCAAAAAGACCGTTAGTGATGCAAAAAAATCGTTAGTGATGCAATTCACAGCTTGTGACGTAAATAGATCTTCCAAAGTGCTATCTGAACGAAAACAGCTTCAGTCTTCAAATGGCTTCCAACCCAAGACTTGAGTTTCCGCCCGACGGCTATCTAGTGCTGCCCCTCAATCTCACGCAAGCAACTATTTCATGTGTGCTTCGACAAGCAAGACGATCTGATTATATTAGTGTTTTCCGTGAGGTGGGTGGCGAAGAAGACGACACATTCCGTAGCCAATCACGTCAAAATTGTCTTTCGCCACAGATGAAAAAGCTCCACAGGAAAATTGAGGAGGTGGTTACACTAGTTGATGCAAACTTTCGAGCACAAGTTTATTCATTTTTGTACTCGCGCCCTGGTGGGCCTGAGCAAGGACCGCATGCAGACTTCACAAGTAGCGACGTGGAAGCTGTCAAGATGCGTTTTCCCCGCAGCATTCCAGCTAGTGTCGTCGTCGCGCTCGAAAGTGGTACACAATTAA